CTGAACAATACACTATTGAATATTAACAACTGAACAACACACTATTGATTATTAACAACTGAACAATACACTATTGAATATTAACAACTGAACAATACACCATTGATTATTAACAACTGAACAACACACTATTGATTATTAACAACTGAACAATACACCGTTGATTATTAACAACTGAACAATACACCGTTGATTATTAAAAACTGAACAATACACCATTGATTATTAACAACTGAACAATACGCTGTTGATTATTAACAACTGAAAAATACACCATTGATTATTAACAACTGAACAATACACCATTGATTATTAACAACTGAACAATACACCATGATTATTAACAACTGAACAATACACTGTTGATTATTAACAACTGAACAATACGCTGTTGATTATTAACAACTGAACAATATGCTGTTGATTATTAACAACTGAACAATACACCGTTGATTATTAACAATTGAACAATACACCATGATTATTAACACCTGAACAATACACCGTTGATTATTAACAACTGAACAACACACCGTTGATTATTAACAACTGAACAACACACCGTTGATTATTAACAACTGAACAACACACCGTTGATTATTAACAACTGAACAACACACCATTGATTATTAACAACTGAACAATACACTGTTGATTATTAACAACTGAACAATACGCTGTTGATTATTAACAACTGAACAATATGCTGTTGATTATTAACAACTTGAGCCACATACCTATGTTCTTTAAAATAAACCTCTACTAACTGAGCAATCAGAGAAAATATACTGTTCATAAACATTTATGCCCATAACAGATGCTAAGTTTTTTAAGACCCAGTACATGTTCCTTGACTAAGTTTTGTTTAAATCCATTACATGTTTCTCATACACAGAAACAAATAAGAAAAATACCTTTTTTATTTAAGGGCCTCTTCCTGACTGCCACACAAATCAACTGGTTGTATACTGGGTCATCAGTAGTGATTGGTTTAAATTCTAATTGAGCTCTGTATTCTCTACAGAAAAAGAAAAATATCAGTCCATCACAATGATGCTTGAAAGTGCCTGTAATTTTTTTTTTTTCACTGGCTTGTTAGAGCCCCTCTCAAGTCTGTCATGGCTTCCACTCTTATGAGCCCAATACTGGCCCTTTTATTTTTTTATAAAGACAAATACTATTGAATTAAAATCCTGTTATTATTTGTTGTGACATTGGCCATGCAATCAGCTGTTGTTTGAGTATACAGACAAGCTCACAGGTTACTTCGTGTGACCCTGTTGGTTGCTATGACTCTGATGCTTTAATTTTAATTGGCCTAGCCCAGTGATGTTACATGCACAGTAATATTGTTGTGTATATGCATGAAATATATTTGTAACTGAGAAATTAATTTGATGTTTTCAAGTTTAAATTAAAAAACTGGATATTAATTATTAGCAAAATCAGACTAGTAAGAAGAGTTTAAGAAAATTTGATTGTGATCCATATTGTATTTGATGAACTAAATTCTGCATGACATGGGTGAGGCTGCAAGGGCTACTGTATTGATAGGAGGTTGTCATAGTTCAGTGGCACACTGTGAACGTTTCTCAGTTTAGTCAGCAAAACTATCTTTTGTTGATGGAAAAACAGTATAATGCGGCCAATACAAATTAACTTTACTATCTAGTTTTGTAAACAAATAATCAAGACATGGCATCAGCCTGCTAACAGTCCCTGTGGACTATTTAAAGCAGGCTTTAGCAGCCTGTTTCAAATATGCATTTTTCAAACAAGGACTGGAATATATGAAATTTAATAATTTAACCATAAATCCACTTACAAAGAAAACATCAAGACAGATACTGAAACACCTTTATATTTATTTGGAAATAAAAGAAAGAATAGTGAAGATCTATATAAAAAAAGAAAGATATCCTTTCATGAATTTTTCTACTTTATAAATGTTTTTTCTACTACACCTTTTTTTTTTTACTCATCTCTCGTCTATCAAAGATGCCAAACCTAAATAATGTAAAATAGGAAAGCTAGCCTAAAGCAAAACTGGAATCTGAGAAGAAATATAACAATGACTTATTTTCAGAAGTCACTTTCCCACCAAGAATACAAATTGCATGATTTTCACTTACTTTGGCTGATTTATTGCCCAGCAAGTAAACATTATATTCAGATTTGACTTTTTGCAATGGTGATTGCCAAGAGTTCTGTATCAGAATATCATTTGTAACTTTCGTGGTTGATGTATGTTTTTCCTTTTTTGTTTGTTCTTTCCAACTTTAATTTACTTTATAGGTATAATTTATCTTTTAATCTTACTTCATACTTACCTGTTTTAGTTTGCTGACATTCCCTGTCTCTCTGATTAGTTTAACTTGATAACCTATCCCTTCACTGATTATGAGTGGAAAAAATGTTGTACTTGAATAAATTTTGATCTTCAAAATGAAGAATGTTTTGGTATGTTTGAAGACTTGTCGCTCGTGTGTTAAAATATTCTTCAGTAAACCATAGTGTTGGGAAACAGAAACCTTAAAATTAAAATATAAGCTTGGTGTATTTCCTTCATGACTTAAAAATAATACTGCTAAGTCAGCAGAACTGGACTTAACAGTTCAATGGCTAAAGCTTGAGCACTGAAAATCTGCAACGTCAGTATTTCCCTCATGATGCATCTCTCTCTTAATAGAGTTATAAATTTGTCCTAAAATTATGAGCCTATTTTGTTTATTAAAATGTTTTACTGCTGACCTCTTTAAATTACTACTAAAGAGGATAAACTATGAGTAAATAAGAACTTCTGACCACAAAGGAGACAAACTATACAGATAAGAATTCACACAAATTTTTTTTATGCAACAATACTTGTTTTAAACATGCAAAACCAGGACATGTAAACATGAATACAGTTATATGTAACCACAAATTTAACTCTAGCTTACCTGATCATTCCTATAAATTCCCAGTTAGGATGCGTACGATCCTGTCCCATTAAATCATATTTCTCTGCTTTCTGTTCTGCTTGTCGAGCTCGTCTTTCTTCTCTCTGTTTTTTAATCTTGTCCACTTCTTTCACTACATTGGATCGTCTTCTAGCTGAATATAAAATGCTTACTTACTTACAAAACTGTATGTCGTGATCTATATACAACTCTAAGTAAATAGTTATACTAAAGTATTAGTACTGTTAACATTATATGTTGCAAGTACTTGAGTTTAATAAAATACCTTGAGATTTTCAGGTGCTATGCTTTAAACACTTCGCTGCAACAGTAGTGCTTATTCTCTAAGTCGAACATTTGTTTTGGGGAAATTACATAATGTTCAAAGCCATTAAAACAGATTATAATTTTATGGTAGAATAATTTGTTCTGGGCCATATTCCATTCATTTTTTTAGTAGAACTTAAAAATTGCTTATGCTACATTTTTTAGGCCTACAACTCTCTTTGAGCTTCTTTGACATTTAATGTTATCGCTCTCCTGAAGACGGTAGGGAGGGAAAATTTTTGTACAAACAAAAGTACTGCCATTTCAGTTTTTTTAAAGTTTATCATGCCTAAACAGAAATATACATCTGTAGAAGTAAAGTACTGAATGTTTGAGAAGCTATGCATTTACATGTGAACTATACAACATGTAATTGCTAGAAAATTTTAGGTCCCCCTAGGATGCAATGTAAGCAAATACATATGTGTGTGTGGTGATATGTGGAAAAAAGGTTAGTGCATGGTGCAGGTTTTATGGCACAATGCACACATACAAACAGTTATAATGCCATACGCCTCATAACACAATGTAGCAATAGGGTTAAACAAATTACACTTGATATTAGAAAATGGAATATTACACTCAAAGTGATGAAAACCTATGTTTTAAATGTGATTTTAATTCAAGAGAAATAAAATAAAATAAAAAAAACAATGATTAAACATTAAACAAATTTTGTGGATTTTTAATTTTGTAACACAACACATAGGTCATATATTTACTAGTTTGTTCAGTACTTTAGAAATATACCACCAACTACCAAGAAAAAACAAATAATAGCAATACAAAGCTTTGTTTGATAATGTTTTTCATCATTGATTTAACTGGGTTGATGAGAGCTGAATTAGCTAAAAATTTCAATCTTCAATTTAAAGTAACATATATATAACAAGAAAAATGTTGCATGTTTAGTATGTCATGTATGTTTAATGTTATTTGCACAGTGGTAAATCAATGACTCACTGGTTCACTTCAGTGGTTGATTTAATAAATGATTACTATAATATTAATCTCTAAAACATTAATATAATGTATACAGTATTACCAGTGTTTATGCTTCACTTAGAGATGAGATTGAATAATTTCTACACAAGCAAAATTTAAGAACAAACTTAGTTCGAATAGAATTTTCCCCACGAAAAACTACATTCCGATTTCATTTCTTGATTAGAGAATGATAAGCTATTCCAAATCTTTGTTGAGAGGAAGGGTGTTTTAGTTCTTTGAATGTAACATACAAGCTGTCAGTGTACCACTCTTGGTTATTGGTTGAAGTGGAGCAGCTGGAGGAGTTATTGTTGGTGAGGCTGACACAACTGAATTGTTGTTGAGAGGAGGCAAAGTTGTGTGATTGTTATCCGAATACCCATTCTGAGTGGGACTTTTCGAATTGTTGAAAGAGGATCCTGTAAAAATAAGATTACATATGATTGTGACAGTCAAACTCTGATTCCATACAACAACATTCTTGTGGTTTACATAAGTTTATACTGTACACAAAAAAGGGTTTTAATCAGCACAATAAAAATTACAAAAAATATGATTCCTGATATACTTTTTTCTGTTATTTCATAAATAACACTAATATCACTTGTAGCTCAATGTGTATGTGTGTGTATATATATATGGCTTACACCTTTTTCACGGGTTTTTGAGCAGCAAAATTTATAAAACTGACTTCAAATGATAGTAACAGAACATATTATATGACTACAAAAATATAATAGAACTTCAGGTAAAAAACCCATGTCTTGATTACAGAAATTTAAATTCTGAAGTAAATGGTTTAGCAAAACGTTATGAAAACATATTTCAAGCATACTTTCCTAGGAGAATAAGTTTTAACATAAATTTAGGATAACAATGCTACACTCATTACCAGATTGATTTTTAGTTTTGCTCAAAGTAGCTAGCTTGCTGTGACCAAAAGTCAATATTAATGTGTTAAAAGCAACAATTGAATTGAAAATAAATCTTGTATTTTACAAAATTTGCTAATTTACTAATATTCTATAAAAGTTAGTGAAAATGATAAATCAGTGACAGCAATCTATCATCAAAAAATAGAATTAATATTTTGAATTTTATGCATAATTATTAATTACCACCAGTTGTATAAATGCTAGCTGAAAAAAATATCCTTTTAATTCCTCATAAAGCTCCCATGTAACTGAATAGGTGTGTGGAAAGCTAAGTAGTGAAGGGTTTTTTTAAATTTCTTTTTATGTTTTTAATCCTGATATCTATTTCAAATCTATATGATAGTACTAACATCATACATACATGCTGTAAATACATGCACTTATCAATATTTACCTTTGTTCTGTAAAGTCTGAGGTCTAGGAGGCAACTGAAAAAATTAAGTAAAGAGTAACTATACCACAAAAAAATTTCAATCAGCTGGCATTTATATTTTAATAAATGAAAAACTAATTACTTTATTCTTTTAATAAGCATATTTATTCCCTTACAGTGAAAGGCACTGAATAAATTTTTCATACTACACATGCACATATATATATATACCATACAAAATCTGGTATCATTATTTGATAGTATTTCATTTCCACTGCATAAATGTGTAAAAGCTGTCTCTGTTAGTCAAACGTATACAAGTCTGTAATGAAATATTGGTTCATTTAAAAAGATAAAACCTATATCTAAAATTAAGAATTTACTGTAGGTCTACCGATGGAGGGAGATGCTAAATTCTTAAAAATAATTGAAAAAAACAAATTATGACCTATATCTAATTAAGAGTAGTAATTTAATTAATATCTCATTTCAGAATGGATTACTGGTTGACTTGAAGTATTCCACTATGGTAAAACATAAAAACCATTCTTGTTAAAACCATATGTAACTTAAGCCAGAATACAAACCCAGGTTTTCCCAAGAAAATTATCCTGAAATTAAAGTCTGATCTAATGTTCTAGATTTCGTCCTGCAACAACTTAAGTGAAATATAAAAATTTGACCACATCCAGATAGATTACCATAGTATAAGTTCTCATATGTTGTGTAAAGATGATGACGATATGAAAAAATACCGTACCAACAAGGCTGAAGAACTCATTTTTAATCTATTCTATGACAAAAGTGTTGATTGGCCATCCATACCTTTGACCAGAAATTATGCATTCAAACGGACCTTCGAGGTAGAAAAGAGATGGATACATGTTTTAATATCAGAAAAAAATCAATCAAGTCCTGCCTAACACTGACATGAAAGGGGAAAGGATGAAGCACTTGTGTATTTGCAAGCCTTAAAAAAGAAAGACATATATAAAAGGACAAGCCAATTGCAGTTTGAAAACCCTCTGACATCATCCAACCTAAAAAAAAAGAATCAGCCTAAAATATGATATCAGGTAGAAGAAGATATCTGGAACCTCTAGCATCATTTCACTTGAAGACAAAAAAACATATCAGCCTAAAGCAAGATATCAGTAGAGGAGTAAAATAAAATCCATTGAAGGTAAAAAAATATCTGGCCCACATCCAGAGGAATTCCTGAAGGTTCATCAGGTTAGATCCTCAATCCCTAGTAAACAAAGATTTTGTTCTGAAAATGCATTTGGCCTAGAGGTGTAACAATGAAAAAAAATGTATATTTGGAATTTTATACATAGATTCAATGATGTCCAAATTGTTGCTGTTGAGATTGTTTTTTCTTAAATTAGCCCAGTAACAAATGTGCCATTCTCTGTCAAATGCCCTTTAAAAGTCAATAAAAATGTGGATCAAGTGAATTTGATGTCGCAGATATTTTCTGCACAAAATTCTATGGTTGAAAATCTGTTCTATTGTGCTTGTTCCTCTGCCAACATAAATTCAATTTGGGTCTTAATATGTTAAAATCAGATTGTCTTTGTTTTGGGGTAAGGTTATGATGATGAATTTTGTCCATTATCTCACCATATTTTTTGGTTTGTTAAATTCTACTAAATAAAATTTCATGATTCACTGATGATACTGACCTCTTAGCAGGCAACATAAATGAACTAACGTATCAAGGGCATACTGAATGAAAAGTGATCCTGAGCAAATCTAAGTTATGGTAAGAGGCACAGCTTTTGGAGGTCACACACTTCTGTCAGTAGACATAAACTAAAATTGAATTTATTTAAATATTTTGGACAGGATCAATAATAACTAATATGACAGAAAAATCCATAATTGAAGTGAGAGCAGGATTATCAGTTGCAACCATATGCATGTTGAAATTCAACCCCATGTAGAAAAGAAGAACTTTGTAGACTACCGGTAAAATCAGATTCTTCTGAACAACTGTGACTTTATGGATGCGAAACAATGATTGATGAAACAGAGAAATAAATTCCAGCTTTAGGAAACAAATGCTTCCAAAAACTTAAGAATTTCCTACACAGTTCATTAAACAATGAAAATGTTCGGGTACAGAGAGAGAATTTTTTACAAGACTTTGGGATCCTGTGTTTTCTCAACAATATGGAAGAGGCAGCTACAATGGATATATAAATAATGTATTCCTCAAGTTTTGTAAAACAAAAGTCATGAGGACACAGCTAAAGGGTGTATAAGAAGAGGTTGGCAGAAAAAGAACTGGTTGGACAAGAAATCTAAATTATGATTAAATTGATTAAAGTCTTAAAAATAATCAACTAATTGAGATTGGTTGCTCTGATTATTACCGTGTTCGATTATTTCAACAATCAATCAAAATTATGATTAAATAAAATAGTTGAATGTAATCCATTAATTAAAATTATGGTTTCCAATTATTACTACTTTTGATTATTCCAAAAATATAAGTAAGTGATATATTGCCATCATGTTTGTTTGTTTGTTGTTAAGCACAAAGCTATATAATGGGCTATCTGTGCTCTACCCACTTGGATATCAAAACCTGGTTTTAGCACTATAAAGACATAGACTAACAACAATATTAGGTTATACTTTTGTTGCTAAGCAACATGACATAAAAGCCATTGTTGGAACATAGTGTTACCAAAACGCACTGGCTTTTCTATAAGTTAGAAGTTGTTAATCCAACTGATTTTTACCAATAATCATTCTATGAATATCCCATAAATTCATTTCATGAATTTTAATTTTGATTGGCTCATAAAGGAATTTACCAATGTCTGACTGCATTGACTGCACTTTTCTGCCTCTTTGTTGGTCAAGCTTGATTTTGCAAAATTTATATATTTGTTAGCTATGAAATGTGAGATTAGGGTATACTATGGGATTGGGGTGGTAGTACTTTCCCAGTCATTTTGAAGGGTTATACACTAGTAAATAGAGTGGGAAATATGTCACAGCAGAGTAAACTATACAGAGTATTTTCCTTTCATTTGTGAAATGTGGAGTAATTTGTTTGTTAAATTATATCTGTTTTAAAGTTATAGAGATTTTTTTTCAATGAAAAGAGATTACATAATTTGGAATAAGGTAATCTTATATAGTGAGAGACTGGTTGAATGTGTAACAAAGAAAACTTTATTATAAGTTTAACACAATAGCAAATTTACAATGTTTAAACAGTTTTCTCATCATCAGGTACAAGTAGTTTAGATACAGAAACATGTATACAGTACAAAACAAACAAGTCTCATCACTGGTGATTGCTTAAGACTAAGTAAAGGTAACTTGTTGATGTTTGGTTCTTTGTTTAAACTTAGTGTTTGTACTTTTAATTTATATACTATGGTTTTTGAATTGCTATGTTTGTAAACATGAGTTATTGTTCTTTTTATCATGTTCACCAAATGAAATGAATCAGTGAGTATGGTAGGTAATGACAAAATATAATGATTTGTCAAAATATTTGTGAAATATTATTTTTATGTTTATCTTATTCAAAATATGTAACTAAATAAAGTGGCTATTTTATTATTTCTAATTGCAATTGTGAAATGTTTTAACACATCCCTCAGGAGCCAAGTGGTGTATTTACATTACAATTTTTTGAATATTAAAAGTAAGTTCAATCTGGAAACTCCCAAGGAGGGTGGTTTTGGGCGCATCTTTTCAAGACAAGTTTTTGTTTGTTAGTTGATAAATTTTTAAGCGAAATACAGCATCCCCAAGTCTCCATACTAGCTAGTACTAAGGCCTACCCACTGGGAGTAAATTCAATATATATCAATAAAGCCACATTCTCAGCATCATTAATTAAGCAACTGCCAACCTTTTCTGCTTTACTGTTTTATGTTTAGCTTTCAATTGAGATGTGAACGATTTCAGCTGCGATTCAGTAGGGAAGTCAAAGCATCATGATAATCAGAAGTAGGATGAGCAGACAGTAACACATTGAAAGCAGCTACAAGCATAATATTGCACTCAGCTTGCTGCACAATATCTACCAAGGTGGTTCTAAATGGTTTCTGAATACATCTGCGCGTCATTTGGAGACTTTCACACTTCTTGTGCTTGGCCATTATGCACTGACAGATTTCAGTCACCTTACCACTTCAAATCAATTTTTGCAGCCCCGCCACTAAAAGAGTGTGGAAAATGCCTTCTTTTTAGCCAATAAAAATTTCCAAAAAATTTAAGTTCAAATTAAGAAAAACTGGATTGGGTAGTTTTTTTTTTCAACAAAAATGTCTCCCACTGGCTCATGAGAGACCTGTTAAATAAAAACATACATCCTTATCAGTGATAATAAAATATGTTTTAGTTGTTTAATTATAAATTTATTGAATTTATGCCAGATCAGTGAGGGATTACTGCACATTTAAAAAAACAAAAGGGCGAACATGTGGTCATCTCTAATCAACATTAGTGATTCATTCGTTAAGTTGGAAATGCCAAGGTAATCTTTAAAAAATTTATGCCAAAATATTTTTACACAATATGCACAAATGATGACCTCCAGAAGATGTCTATCATATGAAATGATGAGTAATTCAAAAATTACTTTAAAAAACTAAAATAGGAAGATTAGTACCATGTTAAAATATGATAGAAAAATACAGTTAAAAATAAAGTTATGAAACTAGTACACCAACATTATTATTATTTTTTGCTCGTATGGGAGTAGATGTACAATGCTGTCAAGCACACTGTACCAATTGTACTAGTTGATTAGTGAGTGTGTTCATTAATCAATTAAAAAATACTACTGATTTCTTAGCTATTTTAAACAATATAAAAGAATGGTCTGATATGTCATTTCCCAGCCTGCTTGAAATAGCTCAAGACTGAGAAAAACTGAGAGAGTTGTCAGTGAAGGAACTTATAAATACGATAGAGAACTGGAATAGATAGGTGAAACAGTTTAAATCAGAAACACCCGAGCCCTCTCATCAGACTAAAAGTTCTAAGTTTGAAAGAACTACTGAAGCCCTTCTGAGAAGAATTCTTTAATATGTTGATCTTCTTGAATGTAAAGACTTGACTAACCAGAAGCCTATTAGACTTCAACAGCTAGTGGATGTCAACCTTCTCATAACAGAAGCAATGGATATATTATTCAAGAATTTAACTTCATAGTTTAAAACTTCTAAAATTTTTAGAAAACTTCAAACAATTAAGATAGAAACTAAAAAATATACATTCAAAAGTTCTAAAAGCAAGTATGTTTGTGAAGAAAAAAAAACCCAACATAACTGATATAACAGCAGAGTACAAGAGAACTGAAAAAAAATGGCTGACTCCAAAAAAGGTAAAATTTATAAAATTCACGCAATAGAATACAAAACAATTACACAGGAGTGAGATTTGTGTGAAATTTCAAATGCAAATGAGAAAACCAGAGAGAAGTGGATACCCTGGAAAAACAGATGAAAGAAATAATAAAACTAAGAATATTCAATCAAGAGAAAACAATTTTTAACATTATCCAAATTTTAAACACAATGAGAGTTAGTTAGGAAAACATGTTTTTGCTAACACAAGTAGAATATCTTTGTACCTAATTTATTCTATAGTCCAAGCAAAATAGATTAAAAAAAATATGCTCTCTATAAAAATGTAATTTTGATTTGATACTGTGTGAAGACAAGAACATTTTACATTTCAATCTAAATGTACTTTTTTGGCTATAGTAAATCACACGAACTTTTTCATTAATGAAATTTATAACATAAGAACCAATTTAATATCAGCATTATTAATACATGTTACATTTAGTTGTGTCAATTTATCTACATGTGTGTATTGTATTTTGTAATACAAATATCATAATGAAATTTCGATTGTGCTAAGACACGTTGTTTAAAATCCATATTTTTCCTTACCTTTCTGCTGATATTACGAGGTGCTTCTGCTATTGATGGATTGAGGTTTAAAAGTGTATCATAATCAACCTACGAATAAACAATCAGGCATTTACACATGTATACAGATCCATTTTTGTTTTTAAAATTTATTCTATCAAGATGTATATCACTGAGATTAATATGTGTCAATACAACTTTTGAAAAGGTGCTTGATAGAACAGGCACACACTATAATTACATTTATATCTGTTTGTATGCACTGTAACTTTGTATTAAAATTAAACATGACAGTGTACACATGGAAACCATCTGACATAATGAAAGAAAAACACCATTATGCTACTGTGTTTATACGTTCTATTTAACTTAACCACCTCTTTCCCTTTTGTTTCTCCATCTTCGAACCATTCTACAGTAACCGTTCCAGTCTTTGCTTTGAAGCCACTAATAACTGCCGAATGCACACGACCTACACATAGAACAAGGTTATAAATGAGCTAGAACCATATTACATAAGTGTATACAGAACTACAATAAACATATTAAAATTCATAACTATAGATACTCATACTGTAACAAAGAATAAAAGTTGTACTCTTTCCATATGCAATACTGATCCACTGGTATATATATTAAGAACAGACCCTGAGGAATGTGCTTTAGAAACAGCATTTCATGAAAAAACAACAATATTTCTATACAATTCATGTCACTATGTTAATACATTTAGTTCATGTTACAAACCGTGGAACGATACGTTGGACAAAGTGAAATATGCTGTTTGTTTGGATTCTTTTAAAAAACTTTTCTTGGATAAGAATGAATGATATTAAATTTTAATACCTTGGTTGTTTATTTTGGTAGTCAAGATGTGATATTAATCAACCAAATGACCTTCTGTAATCTTGTGCTCTTAAAAGATTTTCATGTCAGGTGTATGTAAAGCATGCTATATTAAGTTTAATGTTTTAGCCATATATATCTAACAGATTTCATACTGGAGTCCTTAAAATATTGCTATGCATATTTGTCAATGATATTGTAGATCTTTGATATCTAGCAAAATGAGCCTATGTAAAAATAAATAAAACTTAGGTACCTCGAGGGACTCCTCTACTTTTAAACTTATAACTCAGGTGCATAAACAGTAGTTTTTAACATTTTTTTGTTTGTTTGTTGAATTTTGTGCACAGCTACTCAAGGGCCACCTGTGCTAGCCATCCCTAAGTTGGCAGTGATAAACTAGAAGGAAGGCAGCTAGTCAACATTACCCACCACCAACTCTTGAGCTACTCTGTTTTAATGAATAGCAGGATTGACTGACACATTATGATACCCCTAGAGTTGTAAGGGTGAGCAGGTGATGGGTTTTGATCCCACATTTTAACTAAATGATACAGTAGGTCTGATAATTACTACAATGATTAATTCCTTAAAATATTCCTTTTACTATTACATGCAAGTACTTGATTAGTACTCGTAGTTACCCTAAGAATATAGATACATGTAGATTAATGAGCAGCAATAAATAATAAAAAAAGGAAAAATTGGGTAAAAATATACGAAACAAAGAAAAATTTAAATTATTTGAACACAAAAATGTTCTTGAAACTAATAAATGCCAACAGATGTTATATTGCATGTGTACGAAACCATATATGTACACTTTCATTTGAAAATGGTTACAATGGCAAATAAAGAACCAGCCCAATAAGAAAGTACTACACAATATTCAGCCAAAAGCTTCGATAATTTTATAATGATAGTACTTGCCACATAGTATTTATCTATTAAGGATATTCAGGAAAGAATTGTTCTCTTTATTAAGGTTATACATTTCCTACAAACTAACTTTTAATGCTACAAAACGGTAAAGATTATATTTTCTGACAAAATAAAGTGAGACAAAAATTACCTTTACTCTCAAAATAATATGTCCGCAGACTTTAAAGCCTTACATACGTTTGATACAAAAAATAGTCCTAGAGCTGATTGTTATTTAACTAATCATGGTATTTCTGATACTGAATGTCCTTTAAGAGCAATGTTTTAGTCAAGTGTAATACATTCTTAGACTACAAATGTAAAGATCATATTCTAAACTCTTAGAAAAAGTCTTTTTTAAGATATCTTTACATGTTTTCATTTTACCAATTTATCTGAATTAATTTAAACTTTCAATCATTAATATTTCCATTTCTATTGATGATGTTTTTATACTTAGATTCCCAGTTATAACTTAGTGAATAATTTGAATTTTACATCTATATATTATATTATATTTATATAATGATTTACTTTGGTTTTCTCATTCAAAAGACAATCACCATTAACTACTAATACTTGAAGCTTCTCTAATCAATACAGAAGCTTTGTTACAGGTCTAAGTTATTTATATGTTTAATATCCGATGTATATTTAGTTAGCACAACAGTGTATCTAAAATACCTATGCTACCAGCAGTCATATTTTGTGAGGAATATATTAATTCTTTCTCTGATTCTTCAAATCCATTCTTCATGAACTTCTAACTCTAGGTACAAAATCCTAACATTACTGCTACTTCACTAAAAATTTACAATTAATGATACGATCCATATGGACTCTCACCAGCTTTTAGAAAATAGAAAAAGTTTTAATACTAATCATAAAACAGGCTCCTTGTGGGCACATGACTCTGTTCACGTGGTCCCTAATAATGGCCAAATAAAAGTAATATAAATAGTTAACTACACTAATTATTGCTGGGTTCCCCTATGCACTTTACATATGAGTAACTTTGATCAGTTGTTTACACTAAGTGTTGTGACAGGCAAAAAACATAGAATTACCAAATCTGATGCAATTTGTAAGCCTCACTGGTAATGAACAGTATAAAAACAAGTTCGTAATTTGGGGGTTAACTTATAATTTTTGTGAGATTTTAATATTGTTCATCATTTTAAACACAATTCCAATATCAAAATTAATTTCAAATCTCTTTAATTTATATCTAGGTTTTCTAGCCTGCCTTTGTAGTCAACTTCATTTCAGTTCAACATCTTATTTACCTCCTCCTTTCATCTCCAAGTTCTCCAGTTTGTCTCTCTTCAGTAAATATTTTGTTTGTATGTTTGTTAAAATTCTTAACCTCAATGATCTCCAATTATTCCACCTTTTATAAGCACTTGTGATAATTCAACTTTATTTTGTCTTAACTCGGGCCTTGACAAATCCCGGGCACCAGGTCACCATGGCAACAAAAATTTCATTGTGGTGCCAACTATTTTCTTCCATGTTATTTGTGAGTAGGGTTGTGCTAAATAGAACTCGAATATAGAACAGTTCTGGACTCTTGTAAGTCCAGAACTATTTTCATTTTCTTTGAGTTCCAAATTGAAGTTTGTTTCTGTGATTGTAATGGTGATTTTTTTCAAGAATGAAGCACTGTACTAATTTGGCACTATTTTGTTTTTCTTCTTTCTTTCAATTTAACCAATCAGTGCCCGTGTTTAGACATAGAGTGGAACAAAGGCAGTTAGTTCAGGCAATACTATCAAGTGGTTGTTGATATCATGTATTTAACCAATCAGTGCACGTGTTTAGACATAGAGTGGAACAAAGGCAGTTAGTTCAGGCAATACTATCAAGTGGTTGTTGATATCATGTGTTTAACCAATCAGTACACGTGTTTAGACATAGAGTAGAACAAAGGCAGTAAGTTCAGGCAATACTATCAAGTGGTTGTTGATATCATGTATTTAACCAATCAGTGCACGTGTTTAGACATAGAGTGGAACAAAGGCAGTTGGTTCAGGCAATACTATCAAGTGGTTGTTGATATCATGTGATTATTAGCATGCACTTGTTGCTTTGAAAGTAAAAAAATATACAAGCCCTCCTTTCCCGGTACAAACAGTAGTGAAGTTAGGTTAGGCATACCTGGCTCCTGTGTTTTTGGGCTGACTCCTAAATCTGAAAATATTTTTTGAGGCTCGCTTTAACCACATAACTTTATTCCACAACATCAACACCACTTGGATTATTAAGTTCATCACATACCACTGTTTCTTCACTGTTATGACAGAAATCCTGCATATTTCATGACTTTTTCCTGGTCTTAGTCAGTCCCAAAACATAATAAGTAAGACTAATTTGAGTAACACTTATTCAAGAAAAACAACTAAATTTTAAGAGCAAAAGAATAGCCTTTACCAAGCTTGTTGAAACATGCATGTAGAATTAGACAGAATATTAAATAGTTTTACAAAATTCTTAGGGACTTGAATATCCTATCTTTTTGAAAGCTTCTTTTTTAGCTTATGATTATTGGTTGATAATACTTGCTTTAACACTAGAGGCAGTTCTGTAAGCACAATATTTAGAAACGTAAAATTTAGACTTGCTTGAAGTATTAACTTAGAGAATTTTCTGCATAATTTTGTGGTGATTTCTAAAAGTTTGGACTTAGGATAAATTGAATAAATACATGGACGAAAAAGGAGATAATTAGATGGGTTATTTTTAACTAGCAAATGTAATAAGCCAAATGGTGTCTGTCACCCTTTCTTGTAAAGT